GGATCTCTAAAAACACTGGCAGGTTATAGCCAGATGGGAAGGTAAGAAACTTGACTGCTCCTTTTTGTTCCATCTCCAAACTTATGGTCATTTTTTGCTTCTTTTCTCCTACATAATAAATCCTTGTTGCTTTGTCTCCTTTTTGATTGCCTATGTTAAGAGTAATACCTGGGTGAGTGATATTCCAGGCTAGCCCATTTTAAGGAAAGGGGGAGCTAACATTTCTTTTACAACCCAAAGGGGAAGCCATGGCAAAGATTCCCTTGAGAGGTCCAGTGTAAGGCAGTGGAGCTGGGACTTGCAGGGAGCTGGGACTTGTGGGATAACTTCATAAAGTTATCCTAGGGCAACCACAGTCAGTTCCTTGGGACAAGCAGTGAGACAGCAGGGAGAAACTTGCAGGCATCCCATAAACAGGTTTGTGACAGCTTCATCTTGAATGGTCTTAATTTCTGGTGTTTTTTAATGGTAGTTGAAGATGCTCTGTGCCTTTTGGAACTGCTAAGGAACCCATGGCTTTGGGTCCTAAACTATGTCGATCTCAGTCTATGAAGACGTTGCCTCAAATAACAAACAACCCTGTATCAAAGGTATCAAAATATATCAAAGTCCAAATGGTTCAGAGAGTTGGAGTTAGCCCTTTGTGAAGTTATCAAAACTCTGGTCTAGAAATAGATTGGCAAGAATTGGTCATACCCAGATGTTGGGAGAAATTGCACTTATGACCATGCAAGAGCCATTTTTCTGCCTTCAAAACCCTGGAGAACATTGTAATTCAAGCAAGAAATATACCAAGCCAAAAGTTTATGTAGCCAGGTAACTAATATTTGCAGATGCTATGTGGGAGTGTTGCAATGTTATTCCACTATGTGACATATTTATTAAATATTTTGCTTTAGGCAACATTCAGATGAACACTAGATTTACAATAAGATAAAGGTAAAAAAACCCACCAACCATCTTTGGGTTTACAATTTGCCTGTACAATTTTAAGACTTCTGAGGAAAAGCCATGAGCTCAATAGAATGCAGTGAAGCTGCCAAAGACATTTTAAAAAGGAAGAAAATATAGAAAATTAACATGACATCTTTTTCCTCCAATATTTCTCACATAAGGGATCCCCTCTCATGTGGGAAGCAGTTGGAGTGACTGGACCTGGTGCACTGTTATTCCTTCCCTTTTATTGCTATTTGCACCACTGTGTAGAAAGAATCTGCTACCCTTAAGATTGGTAACATTTTGCACCCACTTTGCATCAGTGTAAAACACTGCATAAGGCAGGACAATGGTGAATTGAGCTCAATGTCTCTAATCCCAAGTGGACGTGGATGCAAAATGGGAGCTCCTCAAGGAGACTTTTAACCTCTTGCACAGTTATGGATGGGCCAGACTTATTTTTTATCCCAGGCCTCCCAGAATATAAGAGCTCAAGATGATTAGCATGGAAAGTATCCCTTAACATCCCTATAGAAGGCATAGTAGGAGAGGCATGGCATACTTCAGGCCCTAAGCTTCAGGCCCCAAGCTTCAGAGCTTCAGGCCCCAAACATATAAGTGATGGCTATAAAATTATATCCTTATGATAGACGATTACATCCTTATGATAGGGTCAGACTCTATCAGATTGTAGGTGTCTGTATCCAGTGGCTATTGTTGCATGTAGATGTGAATGAAAAGATGCTCTGCACCAGTCCAATGCAGCTAGAGAGCTTGTGCTTTTAGGAACAGCCATCAATGCAAGCAGTCCCTTCCCAGCAACAAAAGGTAGTTGATTAAAGCCATATTTTGTGCGCTGATACCAGCTTATATTTTAACCAAAATGTCACTGATCCAGCAGCAGCATGCTGCCAGAGAAGACAAGGTGCCAAAAGGAATGTTTAAATATGATAGTATGACTATAAGGTATGTGAAAGCAGAATGGGTGTCCAGTAGGGCTGTGTGAAGCTTTGTTCCCTGATTCAATTTGGCAGAGATTTGGCCCAATTCGGTGGCCAAATTTCTGAATCCTAATTGAATCAGAGGACCCCTTAATTTCTCTGAATCGAATTGGAAGATTTGGAAAGATTCAGAGATTCAGACACAGACACAGCTTTAAATGTTTTTTCTACATACCTCTAGGTAGCAGGGGCTCATGAGTGCTGCAATGCTGGGGTGCATGGAGTGTCCCACAGAACTGCAGAGGGCTTCCCAGTGCACTCAGCAGCAGACCCAGAAATGGACCAGAAGCAGTTCCAGTCCACTTCTGGGTCCGCCAGGGAGCACACTGCCCCCCCCCGCCATGTCCCCCTGGCTCAGTGACTAGTGCCTCCTGGGTCTAAGGGGGCACCCAGGGTCCCCCCATGGCCAATTGCCGAGCCAGGGATGGGGGGCGGGTGGGCAGCGCACTCCCTGGCAGACCTGGAAGTGGACCAGAAGTGCTTCTAGTCTATTTCTGGGTTTGCCGCTGAGCACGTGGAGGGCCCCCTGCACTCCTGTGGGACACTCCATGCACCCCAGCATTGCAGCACTCATGAGCCCCTGCTACCTAGAGGTATGTAGAAAAAAACTTTTAAAGCTGTGTCTGTGTCTGAATCACTGATTCTCCGAATCAGCATCGAATCTTCAGTTTTGGATTCGGCCAAATTGAATCAGGGGCAGTGATCAGAATCATCGAATTGAATCACTGTCCCCGATTTGGGCCGAATCCAAATCCAGATCAAATAGGGCCCACTTCGGACACTCCTAGTGTCCAAGCAAAGCAAAGATTCTCAAGCTGCAGTCCACACTGCAGTCCACACTGTCCTCCCTGGGGGTATGCTGGAATGAAGCATTTTGAAAACTAAGTGGGGGGCCTGTGATGTTGGCAAAGGAGGGGTCTAGAAGACTTTTCTGTTTTGAAGTGGCCTGGAAAATGAAAAGCTACAGAATTTTTGCTGTAGGCAATTTCTATCAAAATATGTTTCCTTTAACTATTTTTAGAACTCCTTTGGCCAGACCCTTATGCAGCATTTACTCCATCAGCAAAGAAAATAGTAACAAGGGGCTATAGCCAAACATAAAGTAGTGAAAGAGAGGTAGTCAAAACTTACAAATGTATTCATGGGTGACCACTCCTCCACTGTTTTCTGTTAGAAAGAGACTTGTTTCAGTAATGCTAATTCCTTCAAGAAGGGAACAGTAAGTAATAGGAAATTTGTCCAAGTAGAAAAGAAGGGAGGAGAGCAAAAGGGAAATGATTCATTACCAAAACTCAAAGCAAAAGAATAACCCATTCATGATTTGCAAAGTCATCTGTTTTTCTATGTCATTCTGCTAATGAATCACTGTTCGTTTACACTTTGGGAGTAGCACCTTACAGACTTAGAGGAAATGGAGACTATTTGCAGCAGTGTTCTTATGGATATGTTAGTAAATTTAGTGAAACATTTTAGTTCCCCAACACCTGGCTAAAGAAAGTGCTTCATTCATGCCTAAAACTAGCGAGCCTTCCCAAGTTCTGTGGATTGCACAGGATTTTAAAATGTTTGTCTCGTTGCCAGATTTATAGGCAACTGATTCAATCTAGAACCTGACAGTGTTGACACTCATATATTTGAAAATGCCAGCAGTATGAATAAGGACAGTGTTTGCTCTTTCTCCCTACTTAGAGTGGGTTCATTAGTGGTTTAGAAGCAAGAAGAAACTGAAAGGCTCTGCTCAGTGACAAAGCTAACTGTATTGGCAAGCTATTTTACAGAGCCACTCATTGCAAATTATGATGTTTTCTGAGTTACTTTATAATTATAAAAACTCAGAGCCCAGGGCCAGGTACAGACATTACATATAAACTGGTCTAAGTGATCGGAAATCGATCTAAACCCAAAACCATAAAGAAGTTTGGCACACATAGACCAGTCTAAAAATTGATTTAGGTTAGACTGGTGACTTGAACTTCTGTACTAGATCTCTTATTGATTCAAGTTAGATTGCTGTCCTCTGGCACACCAGCCTCCTTCGCAACCCCCCACACTCCTCACTCGCACACCCAACCAGGGACCCCCATGCCCCCAGGCTCAGGCACAGCCCCATGGAGCCTGACCCTGGTTCCCACACACCCAGCCAGGGATCCCATGCCCTCATGGCTAGGCACAGCCCCATGGAGTCCAACCCTGGCTCCCACACAGATCTCAGTGGCCAGAGCTAGGCACCCTTCCACCAAGACCCCAGCATGGACCCCCACTGCCTGTGCAGGATCTGGTGCGGGAAG